CAAATAAAAAAATTAATAACCTAAAAAAATATTAATAAAATTTTATTACAAAATTTATCAATTTTTTATACAATACTTTCTCAACTACTTTTTCATAAAAATTTTCCTAACAAAATTAAGCGTGGAACCAAACACCCTAGAATTCCTGACAGTAGCAGGTGGAGTACGTAGTACACTCTTGATTATTGAAGCTTAAATCATAACATTTTGAATATCATACTTCCATGCGGAATTAGAAACTCCCATTCGAAGCATGAGCGATAAGAATGTATTTGGTTTGATTATTAAGAATAATTATTAGTTATGACAATTAATTAAAATTAATAAAATAATTAATATTATTTTAAAAATAATTCAAAGGTTGTCATTTCTAAACAGGCTAACTATTATGTTAAAAAAATTTGTAAACTACCAAAATCAAACAAACCAAATCACAGCCCCAATAATTATTGTTTTGCTTATCAATAAAACATTCTCAATCCTTGTCATCCATTTATAATATTTCTTTTTTGGATGGTAGAGATATTTATAAGATTTAAAGAATAATTTAGCAACTAGTAATTGCCTAGAGGGAAACATATACTTCATATCGAAAAATAGAGCTACAACCTTCAAGAGAGTATGAATCTCATTCTTTCGAGCAAAATATCTATTTTTAATTGGTAATTATTGTTAGACAAAATACTGTCCAAGTTTAACTTGTTGAAAAGAGGGATTGTTGAAGATATGGGAGAAGGTATGTGTGCACTGTGTGATGAAGAGGCTGGGAATTCTAATCAACTATTCTTGAAATGCAAGATAGTTAGTGGGCTGTGGAAGGCATTTGCTAAATGGTGGGGGACCAGTGTTACGTTGGATAATGATTGTTGGAAAACTTTTGAGCATTTTGGGGCGTGGACCAAAGATTCACGCATCAGAGAAGGTTAGGATTGTATTTGGAGTATAGTGGTTTGGTATGTGTGAATTGCATGAAATCAGAAGATTTTTCATGGTTAAGAGTTGAATATGGGGAAGCTGCTTGAACTTGCTCAACTGAGATCTTTCTTATGGATTAAAGCAAGAAAAGCTAGGTGTTTAATCTTTTGGGTTGGTTAATTAATCTTGTTGCATATCATAGATTTAATTGTGGTGGATAAGAAAGGCAGTGAAGGAATGGTTTGAATGATGCCAAATATATTACATGGATGGTTTTTTGTGTAATGTAAAATAAATTTAAATACCACTTATACTCAATATATAAATAAAAGGGTGCTTTTGCTTATTCAAAATATATATATATATATATATATACTTCATATTCAAAACTAATAATTTACCAACTTCCGTCTGGTATGTTTGTGACTTTTAATTTTTAAATTTAATTTTTAAAATTTAAATAGTTAAAATTAAAAATGAAAAACCAAAATTAAAATTTAAAACTTATTATGTGTAAAATTTTAGAATTAATATCCAAAATTTTAAACTTAGTTAATTTATAAAATTTTTTAATTTTATTATGAAATTTCTGAATTTTTAAAAACTAAAATAGAAAACTTAAAATCATAATTAATACTGAAGTTAGTATATCTAATCATAATTGTTTATTTTACTTGAAACTTCGACATTAAAAGAAAATTTGCTAACACCCTATGTCGTGTTATACACGCTTGACAACACATTAAAAGCGAGAGCCTCCTAACTGTCAACCAAAAACCTTTTCACTTAGGCCATATGCCCAGCATGATCACTTCCATTTTCACTCATTTTCTTCATCTATTTCACTTGTTTTCTAATGAATTTATATCCCTCCAAGCAAGCGAATTTGGCTCCTATTCAGCCAACTTCACAACTTGTTGGGAGATAGAGAGAAAGGCACTTCTTAAGTTCAAAGAAGGTCTCAAAGATCCTTCAGGCCGGCTTTCTTCTTGGGTTGGCAATTATTCTTGTACATGGTCAGGTGTTGGCTGCAACAGGAAAACGGGACATGTCACGAAGCTTGACCTCAGGATGCCCCTCGCCAACAGTTTTATTTCTATTGATCCAACAGCTGTTAATAAATCGATCGCCAACAAAACAGCTTTGGATTTTGCATCCTTACAAGGTACGATGAGTCCTTCATTGCTTGATTTGAAATATTTAAAGTACCTGGATCTAAGCTGGAACAATTTTGAACAAACTCCAATCCCCAACTTCATTGGTTCATTCACCAATTTAGAATACCTTGATCTCTCTCATGCATCTTTCAGTGGCTTGGTTCCTCCCCATCTTGGAAATTTGTCAAACTTGCGCCACCTTGATATCTCCTCAAAATTTCCAGAACAAGATATTTTGGTTTCTGATAATTTGAATTGGATCCTTCGACTCTCTTCATTGAAATTTCTCAGCTTAAGTATGGCAAACCTTAGTTTTGCATCAACCAATTGGTTGCAAGCTATAAACATGCTTCCTTCCTTGATGACGTTACATTCGTCTTCTTGTGGACTCCATGACATCCCTACCTCTCTTCCAATTGTGAACTTCAGTTCTATTCAGGTCATTGATCTTTCATTAAATGATTTCGATTCACCATTACCCGGCTGGTTGTTCAACATCAGTTCCCTCATTGAGCTTGAGTTGTCTTTTATTGGCTTTAGTGGGCAAATACCTCCATATTTAGAAAATCTTAATAACATGAGATACCTTAATCTTGATTACAATGATCTCTCTGGTCCACTTCCAATTTCTATTGGAAACTTATCATCCTTGAAGAATTTATATCTTTCTTCTAACCAATTGAATGGAACAATTCCTGAAACCATCGGACAATTGAAAAAGTTGACTAAGATAGATCTTAGTTCTAATAACTGGGGAGGTGTTGTGTCTAGAATTCATTTTCTCCACCTAAACAATCTAAAGGAACTTTTGTTATCCTCCGTTGAGGAAAGGTCATTGATATTTGATGTAACATATGACTGGATTCCTCCTTTTAGTCTAAAATTAATCTCTATTCCATATTGTCAGATGAATCCCAAATTTCCTATATGGCTCCAAACTCAAAAGGAACTGAAGATTGTTGACCTTACAAAAGTCGGAATTTCAGGTTATGTACATGATTGGTTTTGGAAAATGAGTCCACAAATTGTCTTTTTGTCTCTCCGCAGTAACAAATTGTGCGGAGAGCTTCCAAGATCATTAAAATTTCAATCATGTTCTTCTGTAGACCTCAGTTTCAATTTATTTGAGGGACCAATTCCACTATTTTCTGGTGTCTGCACACTTAGTTTGAAAAGTAACTCATTCTCAGGACCAATTCCAGCAAATTTTTGCGATGCCATGCTAAATTTAGACACTATGGATCTTTCTAAGAACTACTTCAATGGCAGCATTCCTTCTTCAATAAATAAGTTGAAGAGCTTGAGTTATCTATTGTTAGAAAATAATGAACTTTCTGGAAAGATTCCTTCAATGAATAGATTGAACAATTTGGAGATGTTAGACCTTTCAAATAACAATTTATTTGGCAACATTCCAAGCTCCTTGTGCTCACAGTCTCCTCTTCTTTATTTAAATTTGAATGGCAACAATCTTTATGGAAAGCTTTCATCCTTGCGAAATTGCACAATGTTGGGGACACTTGGTCTTGCAAATAATCAGTTCCATGGAGGCATTCCAAGATGGATTGGAGAAACTCTAGCTCATCTATCAATACTACAGTTACAAGGAAACATGTTTAGGGGAAAGATACCAAAAAGTTTGTGCAATCTTCCTTTTCTTCATGTTATGGATTTAGGGCGGAATAATTTTTCGGGATCAATTCCACCATGTCTAGGCAATTTAAGTAGGCTGTATCACTCAGAAAATGTTACTTATGTATCTGATGATGCTGCTACTAGTCTTCTTGTTTCTTTGGTTGCCTATGCTTACACTGCTTCTGGTGGTGGTGTTGCTGCTGCTGTTGCTATTACTCTTAAGTTTACACCTTTCTTTTTTGGAATCCGGCACATGGAATTTAATGTTAAAGGACAAGCACTTGAATATGTTAACACAATTGATCTTGTGAACTTGATAGATTTATCAAGTAATAATCTTGAAGGGGAAATTCCAAAAGAGAGAATGAAACTTTCTGCCTTGGGTACATTGAACTTATCTCGGAATCAGTTAACAGGAAACATCCCTGAGGAGATGGGAGACTTACGACTATTAGAAACTCTTGACCCCTCAGTCAACCATCTTTCAGGCCCGATTCCAACAAGCATGTCGTCTATGACTTTCTTGAGCCATTTGAATTTGTCTCATAATGATCTATCCGGACCAATCCCATCAGCAAACCAATTCCAAACCTTCAATAATCCATCCATTTATGAAGGAAACCCAAAACTTTGTGGAGCTCCATTGTCGACCAATTGTTCACCACACAAAAATGATACTCCAAACGGATATATTGGCAAGGACAAAGATGAAAGCTGGTCAGAGAGGTTATGGTTCTACATTGGAACAACATTTGGATTCGTGGTGGGATTATGGGCTGTTTGTGGAACTTTGGTGATCAAGAGGACTTGGAGACATGCCTACTTCCGCTTTGTGGAAGAAATGAAAGATAGGATCTACGTCTTCATTGTACTGAAGGCAGCTCGTTTGCAAAAGAAGTTGAAGGGCAATGAAAGAAGCTGTGGCTATGGTGAAGGTATTTTATCTTTCACATCGGCCTATACATAATACATGAATAACCCAATCATAATAATTAGTACACTTTCTAATTCAATGCACTCTATAATACATTTATTAAGAAATTATTACTTTTAAATTTAAATTAAAAGTTAAAAAAAAAACTCAAAATTATAGATTTGAATTGTTAAATCAATAGCTGTTAGCTAATGCATTGAATTGGTGGTGTACATGATTTTCCATAACCCAATTTAACTCTGACCTTTTGTCATTTTGTTTTTTTTTTAGGTAATAAATTTTATCTCTTCATTGGATTATTAGTTCTACTCCAAAACTGCTGTTTGTGCATCCATGAGATGTGCAGTTTCTACTTAGGAGGCTTTCAATTATGAAGTCAAATCAGTTTGGTGGATGTTTATCTTGTGTTTCCAATAATAATAGGTTAATACGAGTTTATTACTTCTGTTGTCATGGAATGTAGGTGTTTTCAATCAATTGTTGTGTGCTCTTAAGAGTTACTAGTGATTCAAAGAGATTATCCTGTTTATGTTATTTTGATCAATGAAATTTGATGATGTTCTGAGTGATTGTGATTCAAT